CACACTACACACACATATATTATGTAAACACAAACTTTTATTTTGGATGCGATTAATCGCGATTAATCGTTGCCCATCCCTAGTGTAAGGGGATAAAATATACAGTTTGTACGGTAAAAAAAAACCATTACGTCTGTGTGTGTGTGTGTGTGTGTGTGTACTCACTGATGCCTCTGTATCGGGGTGGATTGGCTCTCTCATCTAACTGTAGTTGTGTCTTCACATACTCTGTCGGAAACGTGATGCAGATTTCAATGCCACCTGCGATGCCGCCTGCACACACACCAGATCACACACACCAGATATAAATATATTTATGGATAGCCCCATATAGTATATATATATATATATATATATATATATATGAAGAGTTCAGATGCAAAAGCCTCTAAGTGCCATCTGAAATTTTCTTCTAGAATGGCCATTTTTATCAAACTTGTATATTTAAGTTCAGTAATTTCACTTAAATGGCAATAAATAGGTAATCTTCATTGCCATTTAAGTGAAATCACTGAACTTAAATATACAAGCTTGAGAAAAATGGCCATTCTAGAAGAAAATTTCAGATGGCACTTAGAGGCTTTGCATCTGAACTCTTCATATATATATATATATATATATATACATACACACACACACACACACACATCTTTTTAAAGCTGATTGTTAAGGCCTAATTTTTACAGCCCTAAGAGTCAGTCCCGATCAGTTGATACAGAAGAATCAGATACAGGATTAAATAAGACCAACGATCCTCTCATCTCTTTAATTGTAATATCTCATCAGCCCATCGGGACACTGAGAGAGACCATTAGCCCAGCTCTGAACCACACACACACACACACACACACTCTCTCACTCACTAAAAATGGTCCAACAAGGACGAGGATTTCAGATATTGCCATCTTTGTGGGGACATTTTGTCTTCATAACATAGGGTTGTTTTTAGTCGTACACACTGAAAAATCTATTTTAAAATCACTCTTACACACACACACACACACACACACACACACAGCTAATCAATAACCCCATGAGCTACTGCTGGTCTCTTCTCCCTGAAGCGTCATAAATCAAGCTAAAGGCCTTTCCAAGCGCTCAAACACACTCTCGTCGGCGTTTGGAAACAGAAACAGCGAACGCCAGGAAATTACCAGACGCCACATCTGAGACCTGCCAGTGAAACACGACGGATTTACATGAGCACAATCAGTCAGCGCTCGTGTGTGTGTGTGTTTCAGGAATAACCACTTTCGTTTTCACACCCGCCACTCTAATGCCACTATTGAAATATCAGTCACAACACACACACCTCAATAAAACACACACACTGTCTCTCAGCATTCATCACGGGTAGAAATGAAGAGTTCAGATGCAAAAGCCTCTAAATGCCATTTGAAATTTTCTTCTTTAATGATGATTTTTATCAAACTTGTATATTTAAGTTCAGTAATTTCATTTAAATAACAATTAATAGGTAATTATCATTGTCATTTAAGTGAAATCACTGAACTTAAATATACAAGTTTGATAAAAATCATCATTAAAGAAGAAAATTTCAAATGGCATTTAGAGGCTTTTGCATCTGAACTCTTCAAATACTACAGTAAAACATCAACATCTCTTAATATGTTTGGTTAACCCTCAGGTGCTCTTCGGTCATTTCTGACCGAAAGATTTTCTGTTTTGAATTTATAAAAATCACGGCTTCATCGGAATGTTATGAAACTTGGTGACTTTTATGGCATTTGGTATGTGAATACAAAAAAAAATTGAGGTCATGATCCGAGCATGCTAAGTGGTCGTAAAAAAAATAGTCACACTTGTGGTCTTCGGTCAAAAATGACCCACCCATAGGAAATGAATGGGAAATTGACAAAAAAAAAATCTACAAATCGGCCACAATTCTAAAAAAAATACTACACCGCAGGAAAGGGGTGACACTCTACAACATCTAGAGTGCAAAACAGACACACCCATCGACACACACACACACACATACAAACACACTTTTATACACATACACACCAATAAATTTTGATTACAAAAAGTATGTTTTGAATTTGTAAAAATTACAGCTTCATTGCAATGTTATGAAACTTGGTGACTTTTATGGCATTATGTACGTGAACACACAAAAATTTGAGGTCATGATCTGAGCATGCTAAGTGGTCTTAAAAAAATAGTCACACTTGTGGTCTTTGGTCAAAAATGACCCCCATAGGAAATGAATGGGAAATTGACAAAAACACAAAAATTCACACATTTTTATCTATTTTTTTATTATTATTATTATTTTATTTTTTTTTTTTTTACATTTTTTTTTAATAAAAAATCGTTTTTGAGATTGTTTCAACAATATATTCAAGTCCACCAAAAAAAAAAAAAAAAAAAATGTGTTCATAAACATCTGGGGAATACACATGCCTCTCCATAGAGAGCTATACATGCCATCTAGTGGTTACAGCATGATTCAACGCCTTTTCTCTATACCTTAACCAGATGGTGCTAATTTTCTTCAAAAAATATTTTTTTCCGAAGTCCTAGACTCTATATTAAACTAAAATACTGCATCAATAATTTTTTATATTGAAAAAATTATTATATATATATATATAGAAAAATATATATTTTTCAACATGGCAAAAATAGACCATAAATATTGCATAAATATTAATAAATTCAATCAAATTGTCTCAAAATACTAAATTACAAAGAATAAATATTATAGAACAAAAATAAATTGCATTGGTTATACTGGGATGGATTTTTAGGTGTCCGGTCACTTTTGACCGGGAAGATAACAAGTGTGACTCCGAAACGAAGAGCAGAGGTTTAAAGTGTCTTTATTCCCCCCTCCACTGGAATACTGTAAAAATTCTGAAATATTATTATAATTTTACAAAACCAATTTCTATGTGAATATATCATAAAATATAATTTATATGCAGTGATGAAAGCTGAATTTCCAGCATCATTACTCCAGTCTTCAGTGTCACATGATCCATCAGAAATCACTCTAATATGAGGATCTGATGCTCAAGAAACATTTACGATTATTATCAATGTTGAAAACCGTTCATATGTTTGTGGAAAACCGCGATACATTTTGTTTTTCAGGATTCGTTGATGAATGGGAAGTTCATAACAACAGTATCTATTTTAAATAGTATATTTGTAACATTATAAATGTATTTACAGTCACTTTTAGTCAATTTCATGCGTCCTTAATGAATAAAATAAATCATTTATTTAAATAACTGACCCCAAACGTCTCGGTTCACAGAAGAAATAAAGTGATTCAGGCTTTGAGAAGGTAAATAATCACAGAATCTGTTTTAATTAGCCGTGGTGATTCCCGCCGGAGGAAAGTGTGTTTCAGGATTCTGGCGTTACATTAAAGGCCGATGACAGATGAATAATTCCTCTCATGTTTCTCCATGAAGCAAATGGTGACATTACAGATCTATATATTCCTGATGTTTGATCTGCTCGATGTGAGTGGAGAGAGACACACACACACACACACACACAGAGGAGAGACGGGGAACTGATTCTGAGGGAGAGACACAGACAGAAGAGCGAGTGATTGAGAATGAAGGGAGAGACGCTGATGAACGGAGGAGACCAGCACTCACTGCACTTATAGCAGCCTCCCGGCAGGACACACACACACACACACACACTTGTATATGAGGTTTATAGGCACTGTATATTCTGTCCCCTTACACTAACTCTGCTCCTCACACACACACACACTAACCCCACCCCTAAACCTACCCATCACACACAACTTTCTGCATTTTACACCATAGTATGTTTTTTAAGCCGTTTGGTTTATGAGGTCACAAGAGACATCCTTATAACCATATTTACATTGTAATACCCATGTCATCATACACTCCACATAAACCATATACAAAAACACACACACTCACAGACACACACACACACACAGCAATATAAAGGCTTGAGTGCTGAAGAGAACACAATAGCAGTGATTTGACGTTCTCCATTAGACAGAAGCGCTGCGGGCGACACTCATCTGACCATAATGGCTGCATGAAATATCGCAACAATATCTGCTTATCTTTCAGCCTCTTGAGAGTATTTCATATACGAAGAGAGACAAAGTTCTGAGAACACATTGAAAATGTCCCAAAAAAAAAAAAAAAACGATTTTGGACTCAATATCAATATAGTGCAAACAATACTCAATATTTACAGTACGTATATCTGAGTATTTATGTATTTGCTCTGCAATTAACTGAACTGTTAGTATCAAGTAGATAATAAAAATGTTAAATACTAAAAAAAAAGGTTTAAAACAGTCAAAATTCGCTAAAATTTTAAAGACTTGTTTTTATTAAAATACTGAAGACATTCTTATTTTCACTAAATGAACACATGTAAGGATAATATTTTTAAAAAAAATCACAAACATGAACT